TTTTTTTTTTTTTTTTGTACCGGTAATTGAACTCAGGACCTTGTGCTTGAGAGGCAAGCTAAATCCCCAGCCCTCAGCTTATCTTTTTGAGGAACTGCTAAAATGTTTTCCACAGTGGCTGCAGCATTTTACATTGCCATTGGCACTGTGTCAGGATTCTGACTGCTCCACAGCCTCTAGAACAATGATTAGTGTCTGCCTTTCTGATTCTAGCCATCCCATTAGATGAAAAGTGGTATCTCCTAGTGGTTTCAATTTGCATTTTCTCAATTGTAAATGATGTTGAACATCTGTTCATGTGTTTATTGACTATATGTATTCATTTGGGGAGAAAATGTTATTTCAAAGCCTATATGCATTTATTAATTAGATTATAAGTGTCCAATTTAGGAATGAGCTCCATTCCAGGGGAAGGGTTGTATGTCAGATTCATTCCCAAGTCTGAGATAGTGAATCTTAAACACCTGTGACACAAATATACAGTGTATATTGCTTTGCGCTTCCTAGCAGTCCCCTGCACATCACCACTGCTTTTTCTCCTGCTTTTGAACATTGTGGACTCTGATTGAGCACTGTCCCACTGTGCAGTAAGCTCATAGCAGCACCACTGTGACAGTGCACTGCAAGAGACCTGAGCTACTTCTGCAGTTTGTTTGCATCTAGGCATGTTTGTAATGTGAGGCTTGTTCATATCTGTGAAAGTTAGCAATTGAAATGTTTGTAAATCAGGACTTACTGCATTCATCATTTTATGGAGTTGTAGGGGTTCTTTACATATTTTATGGACAAGGTGCATTTGAAGTTTATGATTTGCAAATATTGTCTCCTGTGGATTGTCTTTTCACATTCTTGGTTCTTTTGTTGTTGTTTGCTTGACTGATTGTGGTGCTGGGGATGGAACCTAGAACTTCATGCATGCTAGGCAAGGGCTGTACCACTGAGCTACACTCCCAGCCACATTCCTTATCATTACAGCACAAAAATGTTATGAGGTAGTTTACCCTTTTTTTTCTTTTGATTATGATTTTGATGTTCCATCTAAGAAAACATTGCATGATCTAAGGTCATAAAGATTTATACCAATATTTTCTTCTAAACATTTTATGGGTTTTATGCTTACAGTTCCGCTTATTATTCTTTTTTAGTTCAGTTTTGTGTATGGTGTGAAGTAGGGTTCCAAATTCATTCTTTTGCATGTGGCTATCTAGTTTCCAAGCCCTTTTTTGGAATGAGACTTTTTATTATTAAATTGTCTTGGCACCCTTGTCCTAAAAATTAATTGCCATAAATGTAAGGCTTCATTTCTGGACTCCCAATTTTTTTTTTCTGTTGATGTCTTAATGCCAGTTACCACATTGTTTTGCTTTCTGTAGCTTTGTAGTATGTTTTGAAATCAGACAATGTAATATGTTTTGCATTTTCCCCAGCTTTCTTACATTTTTAAGGTTCTTTGAACTTTATTGCTTTTTTCTATTAACTTTTGTATTAAATTGATAGATTTCTGTAAATCAGCCAGCTGGAATTTTGTTAGGGATAGCGCTGAAAATTTAGGGTATATTGACATCCATGAACATTGAGATGTCTTTCCATTATTTATATTCTTAAACATTAATTTCAACAATGTTTTATAGTTTTCAACCTATGCAATTTTTGCTGCTTTTGTTGAGTCCTTAATATTTTATTCTCTTTTAGTATTTCCTTAAACTTTCAAATTTTGTATTGCTACTGTATAGATATAACTGATTTTCTTCTTTTGATCTTTTATTTTGTAGCCTTGTTGAGCTCATTTATTAGTTCTGATAGTTCCGTTGTGTTTGTATGCTTTAGAATTTTCTCTTTACAAAATCATATTATCTATAAAAACAGTTTTACTTCTTTCTTTTTAGTCTGGATGCTTTTTGTTACTCCTTGCCTAATTATCCTGACTACAATCTCTTTTATTAAATTTTGAATAGAAGTGATTGCAAGTGGACATCTTGTCTTATTCTTGATGTTCAGGAAAGCATTTGATCTCTTATCTTTTAGTATATCAACTATGGTTTTCTGAAAATAGCTTTTTTTTTTACTTTGAAGAATTTTTCAAAGGTTTTTTTTGTGTGTGTGTGGTGGAGTAGTAGATATCATCTTTCCCACAGCTAGTTTTGTTGTTATTGTTGCTGTTGCTGTTGTTTGCTGTACTGGAGGTTGAACCCAAGGGTGCTGTGCCACTGATATACATCCCCAGCTTTCCCAACCCCCTTTTTAAAAATTTTGAAACAAGGTCTCACCAAATTGGCCAAGTTGGCCTCAAACTTGCTGTCCTCCTGCCTCCTGCCTACTTGGGATTATAGCTGTCTGCCTCCATGTCTAGCCAACATTTACAACCCTGTTCTTTTAATATTTTTCTGCCTTTGCATCTGCATCAAAAAACATGTGTCCGTACATCTGTGGGTCGATTTCTGTATTCTTTATTTTGTTCCACTGATACTTTTTTTTCCCAATTTTCACACTGGTAAAACACTGTCTTGCTCACTATAGATTTTTGAAATTAAATAGTATCAACTCTCTAAATTTGTTATTCCTTAAAGCTCTTTTGGCTATTCTGGGTCCTTTGCACTTCCATATAATTGTAATTTATCATTATCTACAGAAAAAGAAAAAACTGATTCCATTATTATAGAAACATTACTATAACTATATATTGTATATGTATATTATAGTTTATATTCTATAAACTCAATAGAAAAATATAGGTAGCATTATATCTTAATACTGGATCTTCCCTTCTAAAAACAAAATATATTCTTACTTGGACTTTAATTATATCAGCAATGTTTTAGTTTTCACTATACGAATTTTGTATATTTATCCTTAAGTATTTCGTATTTTTATATTTTGCATGTTGTTGCATTTGTGCTTAATTTTAATTTAATATCTGATGCTTTATGTCTAATATATAGAAATACAATTAGCTTTTAGATATTGTTCTAATTCTTACAGTTTTGCTAAACTTACTAGTCTAGTAGCTTTTTGCAGATTTCATAGAATATTCTACACGGATGTTCATGTTTTCTGTAAATAGAAACAGCTTTTTTCTTTCTTTCTGATTCAAATATTTTCTATTTCTTTTTTGAGTCTAGTTGCCCTTCCCAGATCTGAGTATAATGTTGAGTAGGGATGGCAAGAGTAAATAACTTTATCTTAGTCCTGAATTTTTTTAAGAAAAATTTTAGTATTTCACCCTTAAGTATAATATTAGTTGTTCATCTGGTGTAGTTGATTTGTGTCAGATTGAGGGAGTTTCCTCGTACTCCTAGTTTCCTGAATTTGTTATCAAGAATGGATGTTGCTTTCCATTAAATGACTTTTCTACATCAATTGATGTCATGTAGTTATTTTCTTTTTAGTTTGTTAATATTATGAATTACATTGATTTATTTTCAGGTGTTAGCTCAATCCTGGATTCCTGGGTTAAATAAATCCCTCTTGGTCATAATGGATTTTGTTGTTCTTGGTACTTTTTATATCATTAGAATCAGTTTGTTAAAATTTAGATTAGATTTTTTTTTCCACTAGGTTTCTTTTTTTTCCTTCTTCCCTTCCTCCTTTTCCTTTTTCTTTTCCCCTTCTTCCTCTCCCCTGTCTTTTCTTGCAATAGATCACAAACCCAGGGAGTGCTTAGCTACATTCCCAGGTTTTTCATTTCACTTCATTTCATTTCATTTCATTTCATTTCAATTTTTTTGAGACAAATTCTTGTTATGTTGGTCAAACTGCCCTCAAACTTTCAGTCCTCCTGCCACAGCCTCCGAAATAGCTTGAACTGTAGGCATGGGCCACCACACCCACCTTATTTTTCCTTAAATATCTTTGCATGTTGATAAACAAGGTAATGCTAACCTAATGGTATGTGTGTGTATTCCTTCCTCTTCACTTTTTTCAACAATTTGGACAGAATTAATGTTAATTTCTTTTCAAATTATTTAATCAAGTTTACTATTAACTCATCTAAGTCAATGGTTTTCTTTCTGGGAATCTTTAAACTACAATTTAAATTCAGATCAATGGTACAGGTCTTTCCTAGCATGGGTGAACGCCTGGGTTTGATTGTTAGCTCTAAACACACACACAAATAACAGATATAGGGATATTCTGGCTGTTTCTTCCTGCATGAAATTTGGTATATTATACTTCCAAAGAATGTGTTCATTTCTTCTCATTTATCATATTTATTATCTTAATGTTGTTTATAATATCTCCTTGCTATTGTTTCAGTATTTGTAAAATACCTTATAATGGCAATTCTGTTATCCCTGATATTGGTAATTTGTATATTTCCTCATTTTCTTGATTGACTTAACTAGAGGTATGAATTTTTAAATTCTTCTCAATGAATTAATTTTTGTCTCTGATTTTTTTTCTATTGGTTTCTGTTATTTATGTTATTGTTTTTCTCTCCCATCAATATTCCCTTCTTTCTGTTTGGCATTGGTTTAATTTGCTCGCTTTCTAGTTTCTAAGGTAGAAACTGAAGTCATTGATTTGAAACTTTTTCTTTTCTAATATACACTTCACTAGTTATTTTAATAAGTGAGCAAAATACGAGGACAGCAACAAATATGGTAGTGAAAATGGAGATGAGAAGATACTTTTTCAAAATTATTTGGGAATGTCATCAGTAGTATTTGATGAATAGGTTATGGTAGTAAGGATAAAAGAAAAATATTTTATGGTTTTCCACATTTATATTAATGTAGATTGAACAGAGTGTTACTGAGTGAGAATTCTCAGTATTACTAATAATATAAGCCAGGCAAATTAGTGAAAAAATAGTTCTCTTGTAGACACATTGATTTCAATGTCTATTAGATATACCAGCTGGCTATGTTCTATTGGCATTTGCTTGATAGAGATTTCTTGGGAAGAAATAAAGATTTGCAAGTCACCAGAATGAAAGGGATCATTAAAATTATGAGACTACCAAATAGAGGATATAGTGTAAAACAAGAAAAAAGTAAATAGAATTTTTGGAAACATTTCGGATATTAGAAGAGGATCAGTGAAGGCTAAAGAAAGCTAATGCGTAGCTGCTGTCAGGAAAATTGAAATAAAAAAGAGTGGTGTCATAGAAGACAAGAAAAAGGTAAGGTCTCAAAAAAGGCATTATTAAAGGCTTGCCATGACAGAGCAATCAAATAGCCATGTGCAACATTTGACATTAAAGAAGACATTGTTGATTTTTATCAGAGTAATTGAGTGGCCAGTTGCATTAGGGACAGTTAAGATCGCAGTGATGAGGTAGTGAGTGCAGTATTAACCCCTTCCTCTATGAATGTTTTCTGTTAGAGAAAGAGGGTCATGTATAAAGTGACAGCATATTAGACAAAACCAACTTCTATCCTGTTTTCTTAGTGTAAGTTAAGAATATAAGTGCATTTTAGTTTGTGATAGTTACAAGAGAAAACTTAACTGTATGTTTTACTTGAAGTATAAGAAAGGATGTTTCAAAAATCTGATTCTTATTAAAGTTTTACTGTAGTACTAAAAATGAATGTTCACATACCTTCCCCCCCCAGGAAAGACTCTGTTTGCCTCATCATATTTTGGAAGAACGAGGCCTTGTGAAAGTTGGTGTTACTGTACAGGCGCTCCTTGAATTATCTTCAACCAAGGCATCTCAGCTGTCTATGGCTTGATACAACATTTTTAAAGTCATATGTGTACAGTTTCATTTAATTGAAGCGATTTCAGATATCTCTAGTTCATGAATAAGAATGTTCAGTCGAAAATAGTTTGCCTTAGGTTTTTTAAAAAATTACATTAAAACATCAAACTTCAACTTCGAATTGTCCAAACTTCTTTTGGGGGGGAACTGGATTAATTTAATGAGAGTTTTTGATAAATTCAAATTTTCTTTTTACAAAGTCATTTCATAACCTTATTTTTCAAAAAGCAGATTCATACTAAATTAAAAATATGCTTTCATGCCAGGGATGTAGCTCAGTGGTGCTGCCGCCTGCTTTGCAAGCGCAGGGTCCTGAGTTTGATCCCCGGTACCAAAAATAAAGAATATATATGTATATATACTTTCAATTTAATAATCACTTTAAGTTGATTTTTTTAAAGCATAACATACTAGTAAACAGCTGGATGAAGGTAATCATTTTCACAATTTAAAGCAATTCTATATTTGAGTTATTTAATACACTTCTAATTCTACTTTATACACAATTTCTTCAATCTTTGATCTTGGTTTTCTAGAAAAAATGAGTAGAAGAAACAGAACTCTGGCATTATATTCTTTTAGTATAATAGGTTGGTGCCAAAATATTTTCAGTTGTACTGTAGACTGTTTACATGTGAAGTGCCTGTGTAATTGATGAATCTTATATAGTCTTAAGCATTTTTACAATTTCTTTTTATGTATTAATAGAGTCGAAGGATCTTTAAAATATTTTAATAGATTTTGTAAAGTGAGTAATATGTGAGGATTTAAATGCACCTTACATTGTGACATTTGTAAATTTTTAGTCCAATGCAGTTCTTAAATTGGTTCATGTTGTCAAAAAAACCCAGTGTTAATATGCTTAATTTATGCTATTTAATTTTGCAAAACTTAATCATCTTTTAAAATATATTATTTGAAGAGTATTTTATTTCTGTATTGAAAATGTTACATAAAGCAGTAAGATTTTTGAGAACTAGTAAAGTACTAATTATCAAGGACATTTTGATAAAAGTAAAGTTTAGGTTCATATCTTGACTTTCAGGAACATTACATCAGGGCTGCTTTTAACTATATTCAGAGAGCAGCTATTGAGGAATAGGTTTTTATTAAAATGGCCATTTGTGGATACTGTATACCTATGATCCTCAAATAACTTGGTATTGAATTAAATACAGACTTTCCATAAATATTTTCATGAGATACTATGTTATATAAAGTCCTTGTTTAACTTAGAGATGGGTGATTTTATGTTGGTAGCAGTACAGGAATTTTTCAAAAACATTACTGTAATGGATAACTCAGTTTCCTATAGAAGAACCTTAGTAATTACTTCTGTAGTAGCCAAGCAAGTATCATATCTTAAATAGCACTTGTTACCTCTTAATATGGATGCAACTTATTAAAAATGCTGGCCTGGGTATTTTAAATGATATAAATGAAAGATGATATCTAGTGTGCCAAATGATATAGTAAGAGTTAGTTTAGGAATAACTCTACTTTTTTTGATCACTTGGCATGAAGCCACATAATTAAGTTATGGCTTTAGAATACAGATGTGTTCTTTACATTCCCCAAGGATCAAATTGGAATTTTTAAAGAATTAAAGCTTCTTATGACTATAAGGTTTTAGAATTAAATTATTGGTAATTTATTACTTTAAATATTTGAGCTAATTAGTTCTTTTTCAGTTGAATAAAAAAGAACCTCATTGACATAATTCCTAGTGAAAACTTGGATAATATACCTAAGAAATGACAAGTTAATGTCTTAGTTGCTAAGTTTTTATTTTAGAAATTTGACAATGTTACAAATTAAGAAACCATTACAAGCAATAGCACTCATTCATACTTCTTTCATAGTTATGCTGTAGAATTTCTCTTCTTAATCAGTCTATTTATTTGTTTGTTATTATTCGTTTCATATTATCGAAATACTAGTGACATTGTCAGCTATTCCCTTATTGGGTTTTACTTGCCAGTTAATTATTACTTTAAAGAAAAAATACACCAGAACCTAACCAGAGCATTCTTTTCTGCAAAAAGTTCATTTGACATAGATTCATCAGAATTCTATTCCATGCTAGTTCACTTATTATTGTGCCAAAAGGCTACATTACTTCTAAAGCAGTTTCACAGAACAGTCCCCAAAGACAACATTCTACTAAGATTCTGATGTACTTCTTTTAGTAGTTTATAAGTGTAAAATTTATTCCAAATGTTTTATGGTTATTATATATTTACTTCATCAGTTATTGAATTAAGAATGAATATCATTATTTGAAGGGGTTTATGATTTGTTGAGGTTTAAATAACCAAACTAAAATATTTTATTGGCCCCTAAAATTTCAATGCATAGCTATTTCTGTTGAATTTTATGACTGTATAGCACAAGAAAGAAATGATGTTGGATATGTTAGAATTGAAATAAGAAATAAAAATGCATTACCTTTTGTTTAATAATTATCTTTGTAGAATGCTGATTTAATGACTTTTCTAACTAAAATTTTTGAAGAATTCAGAAAGGTTTGTATTGGTCACAGATCTACCATAATTAACTAAATGACATGCTTAAATATAAATGGAATACTAAATGTATATTACTGATGCAAACTTGGATAAAATTGAATTAAAAAAATTGAAGTCTTGGATTTCTTTTCTCCCCCTCTCACCTCTTTCACCATCATAGGATCCTTTTTATCCTTTTTAAAAAAATCAACATTCAATAGCTTGTGGATGTGTGACTAAGTGTAGAAAAATAGACTCTGTGAGGGTATTCAAAGTTGTCTTAGACAGACATGGTGGCCTGGACCTGTAGTCCAGCTATTAGGGAGTTGAAGGCGGAAGGATTACTTGAGTTTAGGTATATAAGGCCAGCCTGAGCAACATAGCAAGACTCTAGTTCCAAAAACAAACAAATAAAACAAGAAACAAACAAATAAACCCAAAAAAAAGTTCAAAACAGAGTCTAGATTCCCTGTAAATCATATTTTCAGTATTCAAATTTTTCTTCAAAAGCAATAATTTTGCAGAATAACTTCACAATGTCACCTCTAATGACTAACTATATACAATTTTGGGGGGGAGGTACCAGGGATCAAACTCGGGACCTTGTGCTTGTGAGGCAGGCAGCAGAACCACTGAGATAAATCCCTGGCTAACTCTATATAATAAATACAAGAAGAAAATAAGGAAAATACGTCAAATTGTGATTATTTTTATTGTAGATTTTAGTGCTAAGTATATGATTCAGTTGCCCTTAAGTTATGAGATAAGAGATTTAAATCTTCATTTTCAAATAATTCTGATATTTTGAAAGTAAAAATCTACGTATTTTATTAAAATGACATTTGTTTATAATTTTGATTGAACTAAAAGTTATTGAAGATTATATTGCCCTGTTTTATAGTTGCTTATCCTAAATGGCTAGATTTTAAAAAGTGTTTAAGTAAATATTTGGTATAAGATATTTTAAAACTATTCCAAGCTTGGAATGAGACGAAGAAGGAACTGGAGCCGGGCGCTGGTAGTGGATGCAGTTCCCTTGAGAGCCGAAGATGGCAGTGAATGTATACTCGACATCAGTCACCAGCGATAATTTGAGTTGACATGACATACTGGCCTAGATCAATGAGTCTCTGCAGTTGAATCTGACAAAGATCGAACAGTTGTGCTCAGGGGCTGCCTATTGTCAGTTTATGGACATGCTTTTCCCTGGCTCTATTGCCTTGAAGAAAAGTGAAATTCCAAGCTAAGCTAGAACATGAGTATATCCAGAACTTCAAAATACTACAAGCAGGTTTTAAAAGGGTGGGTGTTGACAAAATAATTCCTGTGGATAAATTAGTAAAAGGAAAGTTTCAGGACAATTTTGAATTTGTTCAGTGATTCTAGAAGTTTTTTGATGCAAACTACGATGGAAAGGAGTATGACCCTGTAGCTGCCAGACAAGATCAGGAAACTGCAGTGGCTTCTTCCCTTGTTGCTCCAGCTCTGAAGAAACCGAAGAAACCTCTCAGCTCTAGCAGTTCAGCTCCACAGAGACTCATTTCAAAACAGAGAACTACTGTGACTTCTAAGGCTGTCCCGGGGCGGTGCGGAAGAATCCTAGTGTGATGAAGCAACTGAACTTATGCAGCAGGTCAACGTACTGAAACTTACTGTTGAAGACTTGGAGAAAGAAAGAGATTTCTACTTCGGAAAACTAAGGAACATTGAATTGATTTGTCAGGAGAAGGAGGGGGAAAACGACCCTGTATTTCAGAGGGTTGTAGACATTATACCACAGTGGAAGGCTTTGTGATACCTGATGAAGGGGGCCCCCAGGAGGCCCAAGAAGAGTATTAACACCGTGGACCGGCAAAACAATGTTGGAATTCTTCACTCCAAATCATGCGCTTAACTGTAAAATACTCCCTTTTATTATTCTTAGAGGAGTCACTGGTTTCTTTTCATAAACAAAAAGTACCTCTTTTTAAAAGTGCACTTTGCAGAGTTTCACTCTTTTTCCAATAGAGTTTGGAGCTTTTACCTTGCAGCAGAGCAGTATTAACATCTAGGTGGTTCATTAGGGGAACAAAGAGGCCAACTTGGGGGCTTACCATGTGGATGCTGGTTACACTGATTGCTTGAGGAGGTGTTTTTCTGTAATGCACTGAGGTGCTAACCTCAGAGAAATGTAAAGACTGAATTGAATTTTAACCTAATGTAAAATCTTGGCAAAGAACATGTTAATAAATAAATGCCTTAAGAGTATTTAAAATATGCTTCCATGTGTCAAAATATGAAATGTAACAAGACAATAGATTTTATATGTCTGTTGTTGTGCCTGGGAAGGAAGGGCCAGAGTATACCGTGGAACCTTCAGAACCTCCTGTTACAGGCCTTGCATGGCTGTGTGAATCCTCACAGGCCTAGGCTTTGGCTCGAAAGGAAAGTTTAAGAAGTTGTTTTGTAAAGCCACTTGGTGTCATTGACCAATTGCATCCCTGCTGAATGCAAGCAGCATGGTTGCTTAGATGAATAGAGGAGGGTACTCAGCCCTGAGGTGTTTGAGGTGAAGAGCTCTTAATTTTATTGAGCATTTCTCTGATGATTTTTTTGTTATTCCTGAAATTTCTGTGTTGTGTTTTTTGGGAAATGAGGAGTGACCTGTTGTACAATCTTAAAAACTACTGGGGGCTTGCCACATCTCTGGGATTTGGGTGGGGGTG